CGCGATACGTTCGACGCCGCTCGGGTAGCTCGATTGATCTTGCTCGGATTTTCTTCCACAGGTTAGCACAGGTTTTCAAACTTTTGTCTCTTGGGTTTACGCTACACATACATACCCTAATACGCTAACTGACAACAGCCTTTTAGTCGAGCGAGAAAGCTGTGAGAACAAGCAGCGATCGAGCACTTTTGGGCTATGGTGTGCCCACAGTACCGATCGCACAGCCGCATTTGTTTATTTACAGTCACTACATCGGCTGTCATCTGTCTTTAGCTGATTATCTCTGAACAACTCATTAAACGCGAGGTACCATTCACGAAACTCGTGCAACTAAACGTTTTAGCATAGCGACGAACATGGTGTTTACTTCGTACCTGAGCGAGCGACCTGCAGCGGCATGCTGCTCTTGGGGCGTTGCAGCCACTGCTGTGGAAGGTCCGTCTTGGACAGTCCATTTAGAGCCGCGTAAAGTGCGGTAGCCACCATGTGACTGCACTTTGCGGCCCCGCTAGGAGACTCACAGTGACTCTCTAAAATTTCACCTTAATCGGAGAGCGTCATCTTTACCGCGTCGCTACAATTCTTAAACGACGCCTGGACATTCGCAACTAGAGTGAAATCCTTTACCTCAAAAGAAAGGACGTATACTTCAATTTATTTCCTTTCACTTTTTTCGAAGGCCGCGTTCTCGCCGGTGAATTTCCGACAGGCGCAGGAAACCACAGGAAAGGTAAAGCAGCCGTCGATTTGACTAGCAGACGTAAAGCAGACGACGTTAACTGCGCTGCACACGAAAGGAGGAAAAAAGTATTTGGGAAGGAACTTGCGGACACTGACCACCCTCACTCTCGGTTCTTAGCAAACAAACCTCGGCGCCTCGGGACACCTCGCCAGTGAGTCCTTTGACTTCTCTCCTTGTTGCGCGTCTGCTAGTTGTTAGACAAAAATAACGTACCGCTCGAGTTATTTCGTCTGCCCTCTCTGACAGGCGAAGTCGAGCTCGCTCGTAAAGACCTGAACTTCCGAAAGTGGCAGTAAAGGTGAGACAGACGCAGACGACGTTGCGAGCAGACGACGTTGCAAAGGAGCAGACGACGCTCAGATAGGGGGTCGCAATCAGCCAATCGGGGTTCGGCGTTCTGACGTCACCGCTACCCCCTGCGCAAGGAGCAGACGAACTTGCCCTCCGCATTGGATCTTTCAAATCATTGAATCTTCCATCTCTATGGATATTCAGGCCGTAAGCGCTTATACGCCGACCGTCTTCTGTGTCCCAGACGTAGCTTCTGTTTCCCATAATATATGTCCTTCACTCAAAATTCGCACAAAAGCGGCTTTTCTCTTTCCCGCCCGTGACTTTGACAGACCTATATGCATTATATAGTATAGTCACGTGTCTCCCTGCGACGCGCTGATTGGCGCCAAAGAACAGTCCTTCACCATTTACCAAGTTACAGTGAGACAGAGTATACTAGGGAGTTTTAGTAGATCGTTCCGATGACTGCAAGAACGGTGTACCCGATACACGGCCGAGGCATTAGGGAGTTTTAGTAGACCGTGTTTCCCCCTCCGCTAGACCTCCGCTACGAAGAAACCGCCACTGCGCCTGCGCGCCGATGGCCTTGGCTGTACAGTTCCGGGTGCGGAGGGGCTTAGCGGAGCGGGAAACACGGTCTACTAAAACTCGCTATTTACGCACGCATCGTATCGTTATCGGGTATTGCTATCGGAGGTGTCGAAATGATTCACTAGAACTCTCTAATATTACGTTTCAAAGACCGAGAGGACAACGTGGATTGTTTGTGGGGTGTTGTATTGGAAATCGCCTGATTGTGGTTTATGTTACGTTGGGCGGGACGAGCGTTGCTTGAAATACCGTTTGACTAAACACGAACGCTGCCTAAAGAATAAGGGCCAATACTCGGAAGTGTCTAAGCATTTGTCTGAATATAGCAATTTTTATTCCGTTGTAGTTTGGACCTGTGTTGGGTTATTTTGAAAGAAGGTTCACAAGCACTTAGTTAAAGAAATCATCACAATTCTTAAACATGGAGATGCTGCGGACAAGCCGCTCTTGAGATTGGACCTGGTGCTAAAAAAAATTCTGAAAGTTTCACAACCAGGTCGTGTTTTGGAATTTTTAAAACCAAGATTCCGGGACACGGGCAGACCCCCACTACTTGCACTATCTCTCTGCCATCGTAGCGCCGGCGCACGTAACTCAATGGACCGGAGCAATCTTATTTTATGCGAACGAAACTAATCACTCAATTGGTTTGCACTTTTGTGTAACTGTTTACTGCATTACCTTCAGTCTTCGCGCCGAATTTCCTGATAAGGGTTTTATTAGTTCCGCCAAAATCTGACCAAACTTTTACTCATTATATCCAAGTCAAACCACACAGAAAAAAAAAAAAAAATATATATATATAACACCAAGAAAAAGACACGATAAATTGTGTTTTTGCATGCATATAGCCACAATTCCGAGCTTCATGACAACTTTTTTTTTTTTTTTTTTCGAATTATGTGAGTACAAAATGGTCCGCTGGACTTTCAATTTAAAAAAGATGCTTCTTGGTGAAGTGACTCAAGGATTCTGTGGTGTTTCTCGTTCTTGGATAATACTTTAGCATCATATTCAATGTTTAACTAAATGGCAACTACAATGAATATTGCTATTAATGATAAACACTGAACCTAAATACGTGTTTATTTTTCTCACCAAGCAATTAGCACCAAATATATTCCACTGTCTCAAAAATAACTACTTATAAAGAAATAAGGATGCAAAACGTTTGTGAGTCATTCTTTACAGTATAAGCATTTCATTGCCTTAGGCTTTACACTTCAAGGATGACATTAAAAGGTTAGGACACGAGAATTAACCGGGTAGGTTATTTTTTATATGGAATGCTCATAGTACATACACCACGTTTCGCAATATTCCGAGTTTTAGTAATTGCAATAATCAATTTTCTATTTTTTATCGTTTTCATCTGCCGACCAGGCAACACTGGCCAATTTAGTCACGCCATGATGCCCACAAACCACGTGACCATGAACGCTCTCTCTTTCTAGGCGCCCCCGTGATCGCCCGAGCTCGCCTTGCCACGGTACGATCATAACCGCTCACGCAACTGGGCAACCCCAACGCCATCCTCGCTCTTGCCCCGGCCCTTTGACCATCCACCCTGCATGTACCTGCGAGATTGTCACGGGCGACGACGACCACGGCGAGTTCGACGTTAGTCGTCGTCGCTAGAGCTGGTCGCCAGTGTGTCGCAGTCAAAATGACCAGCTTCCAACATCGCTTGATAACAATAATAATAATAATACTTCTTTATTTCCTCTCCAGAAAGGGGGGAGGGGGGCAAGGACACAGAGCTACATTCAGTAACTTGACGAGGTAGAACCCCGATACAACCCGATAAAACCGGCAGAGAGAGCAGCAATGAGAGTGATTGCTCTCATTGCTGCTCTCTGATTGCCGTCGAAGACTTCGACGAAACGAGCGATGCCGTAGACGTAATCGTCACGGACCGCATGCTCGAAACGCAGGAAGTAGACGTGGAAGCTGAAGCTTGAGACGTAAAGAAAGCAAAGTCTGTGATTGCGTGCAAGGGGACACCGCGCAGAGGGCTGGTGACGTCACGAGTCCGCCAACCACGGCGGCCTCTTTGAATGGGGCGGATCCGATGGTCCTTCATATAAATCAATTTATCCACGAAAGTACCGCGCCATTTTTCAAACAAATTTATCAGGATTATAGGAACAACCAATTGGTCCTGAAAGTATACTTATCTCATATCTTACGTTTGGCGCGTCCTAACCCTTAAAAAAAAAAAAAAAAAAAAAAAAGGAAACAGAAGTTGTCTAGAAAATTTGGGCAAATGTTCAAATTGTCCATTAATTGCGACACTTAGCAGTCTATATCTCCCAATAATGAATCCAGTATTTTTGTTGTTATCGCTCTAACAAGATGAACTCAGATGTCAAGATCAAGCGGAAAGAATTGGTCTGTCTAGGAACTTCGGGGAAACGCGCTGTCGATTGTCCCATTAATGCCCAGACGTAGCACTCATAACTCCAAAAAATGAGTCTCCTCTTGGTCTACTAAAAACCCGAGCACTTCTAGAGCGGTTGGGCATTTGTTAAATTATTACTCTCCGAAGATGTCCTCAGACGTCAAAATCAAGCGAAAAGGTGGAGTGTTGAGAGCTTTGGCAAATGCGCCATCAATTGTATCATAAATAGCGACACTTAGCACTCTATAATTCCCAGTAATGAATCTCCTGTTGGTCTGCTATGCTTTTGCCTGATTGCTTTCAGAACGGATTAGTATTTGTTAAGTTAGTTCTTTGCAAGATTGCCTCAGACGTCAAAATCGAGCGAAAAGGGGGCGTGTCAAGGAAATTTGGGCAAAGGCGCCATCCATTCTACCCTTAGTGGCGGGAATAAACAGTCTACAACTCCCAATATTGAATGTCCTGTTGGTCTGCTATGCGCGTGCATGAGTGCTTTCATAGCGGCCTTGCATTTTCTAAGTTATCGCTCTCCAAAGATGGCCTCGGACGTCAAAATCAAGCGAAAAGTGGTGACCTCCGGTTTCATCGCCAGTCCGGATTGGAAAGTTGATGCGTCTTCGACTTTTTTTGTAAAAAGAGGGTGGTCGTAGTCTCGTGTTGCTTCTGTTTCTTGTCTTTTGTGTTTGGTCACTACATAAGCAGTCTCCAGTCGAATAAATTTCATCTGTGCTTGTGCTGACCTTCTTCTGCCTCGGTCTTCGGGTTCTTTGTCGAGTTGTTCAATTTAGACCAATTCGTTTGCGCTTTTACATTTTGTTAATTGAAAACTAACCGGTGGTGGGAAGACACAATACGCGCCTACCAAGCTAGCAAGTAGTAGCATACCACAGCCTATGAAAACATATAACAAAATGTTTCGGCTGAACGACCTCTTTGTTCTTGAGGTATGCAATGTAAATCGAAGATACTTACTCTTTGATGTCCAGTGTAATCTCCGTGAAGTTGACGAACACATTTGTTTCCATCATTATCGTAGATGTAGTAAATATTAGGCTTACAGTAACATTCGCTCGAACACTGACAGTGACGTTTCGCATTGCCACATCGATCTTCAGGCATGTACCATTGTTGTCGGCAGAGATAAAGTTTTCTCCCGCACGGCAGACAGTGCCCAGACCGTGTACGGTAATATTGTACAGCTTTACTCTTGCAGCCGTCACGCTAACTTCAAATTCAACACCAGGAAATTCCAGTGGATCCAAATCATATCCTACGACTGCTGCGTGGAGTGCTCTATCGAAGAAGTGCTGGGTCTCCTGGTTTGAAATCTCGTCGCCGGAAGAGTCTGCGGCTGTAAGAAAAATGGTGCTTGTATTTAAAACGAATAATGACCGTGCTCTTATTTTATCCAATAACGTGGACGCCTTTTTTTCTTTGTATTTACGGCATTAATTTGTGGCCTTTTCCTCATAGATGGCGCTGATATTCTTCGGAACAAACGACTTGCTCGCAGCTGCGCATGTAGGTCGGGCGTCTCGGGTGGACTCGCTCCATGGGCAGTTCGCTGCCGATCTAGGCGAGCTAGATTGTGTTGGCCCGGCGTCCACCGCTACCGGCAGGGGCCAACGGCTTGCGTGGGGCACGAGCTAGCCAAAGACCTGTCTCTTAGTTCCGGCTAACTCTAAAATTAAAACTCCCTAAAAAAAAAAAAAAAAAATAAAGTAAAGGTGTACGCTTAGATCTTTTGTCCCATATACGACACCTTAAAACTTCAGTTTGACGTACAGCGCACTGACCTCGAAGTGACGGCGCCAAGTTTTACAAGGGGCTTGATAACGCCGCGATATACCTTAATAAAACAGCTGAAGTACGTATCAAAGACTACAGGGAAAACAAATATAGGTTTAGCAGTAGGGTGCAAGAAAACCCCGATTACTTTTTTTTTTGCAGTCAGTCAGACGTACATGTGTACATTAGCTATTTTAATAAGTTGCACAACTCGGCTATGAAGCCGCTTGTGAACGTTAGAACCGTCGGTTCCACGTGGGTACGCTAAACTAAAGTTTTGAGGTGTATTATACGTGACACGGGATGTAAGAATATACTTCTTTTTTTTTTTTTTTTTTTTTCTTAGAGTAAATTACGTTGGAGCCATATCCACGAAAAACCGCCAACCGCGTCTTGGTGTGCCTGAACGAGGTCGCTCGCGAACCGCAAACGCTTCGCAAACGCAAACCGCCTGTGTGAATGCACCGTCACGCTTGTCGTTTCTTAGAAGTGTTGACAATCAGTGTTGCCGAACGCGCGAGAGAGGTACCACGAGACCACGCAAGTGCCACATCGCAATTCGCTTTCAGTTTCAGGGGTCGCTCCATAACCGCTCATTTCGGTGCTGCGCCGCCATTTGCTTTTAAAGGTTGCGCGAGGTACGGACCTCGTGCATTGGCGAATTTGATGATTTTGATGCCGCTTGCATGACAAACACATCAAAAGGCTTTGTACGGAGAACATGTGACTATTCGATTCTTTTATTGTATTTTCGGCGTTTTTTTCCTAGCCTTATTCTCGTGCGCAGTTTGGCCGCGGGAGTGCTGTGGTCGGCGACACATTTGTACGCCTAGGTGGCTCCACCGCACGGCAACCACACGTACTATTTGCCCTCTCCCTTCCGCTGGCCAGTGCTCCGAGCTGACAGGCATAGTGTAACTTATAAAGGAGGCACTGCTCAAACTGAATATACCCTCAAGCCCAACTACAGCTTTAACATAACTGAACTTAATCCTAACCTGAAGTTTCAATCTCGAACGCCTACGTAAGATAAATGTTTGTAGAGAAATTGTTTGTAAATAACCTTCTAGTAGCATCGTTATCGATATAAAATTCTGTTGTAAATGTATCGGTTAAATTGTTCACTCTAAGAAATAGGGGGTGTACAGGGGTATACACCCCTTGTCTCATATCTAAGACCCCTAAACAACAATTCGACGTTCAGTCCACAGACGTCGAACCCGCGATACCAACTTTCAAAAGAGGCTTGATAGTCGACCGATACAAACTTATTAAATTAGCTAATGTACGCATTAAAGGCTACAGTAAGACAATCGAGGTTTGTTTGACCCTGCTGCAAAACCTCCGTTTTTATTTATTTATTTTTTTTTGTAGTCTTTGATACGGACATTAGCTATTAGTAGACGTTATATTCAACAGCTATCAAGCCGCTCGTAAAGGTTGGTATCGCCAGCTCCACGTCACTGGACAGAACGTCGAAATGTAGTTTTGGGGTGTTACATATGGGACAAGGTTGTACCCCTATACTCCCCCTATTTCTAAGAGTGCTCATCGTTGCCTCTTTTATATGTACGTGATTCTTATGTTGCGATTGGATACTACTTACGACCAAGCTGGACAAGCCGATCCGATCTGAGTCAAGTGTCAAGCCAGCAAAAAAAAGCTTTCGGAAACGACAAGAACCGTGCTCTTTTTTCTCTCTGTCTCTATGAAACGCGGCGAAATTCTCTCGGATCGGCTTGCTTTGTCAGCAGCAGATATCCTCCGTCAGGGAGAAGTGTGATCGCGAAGCAGCTATACTCCATGGTACTGTTAGTATGAACGAGCCATCGCCGGTTTTCTCTGGTTTTTTTTGCTCAGTTGGGGTACTAACCTATGTGGTAAATTTTGATGCCCGCCGGTGCCGTTTCGAAGTACAACGCGAAAAAGCGGCGAAGCCGTGTTCGCGCTAGCGGTGTCTCGCAATCTACATGTGGCGTGGCGGACATCTTGAATTGCGATTGTGAAAGGAACCTTATCCCTGCGGACCTTCTATGGGAAAAGAACATAACAGAAACTTGTGTCCCCATGCGACCATCCCCTAACACCATACGAAAATTGCATATGAAGGAAAATTTTAAATTAAGAGGTTTTATATGTACATTTTACAATTTTACGCGATTCAAGAAAATCTCATTTGTTTTATACTTGTATTATACACGTAAAACAAAATATTTTTGGTCCAAATGAACTCCAAACGGCGCTTGTGTCTTGGACGCAAAACGAGATTTCTGACTAGTCTTCCTAGAAGTGGAGTTATCGTTGTCCGACTACAAGAACGTGTTAACAGCCTAAGCAAAATAAATTTGTGATGTACGTGACCATTTTCTTCAGCGCAAGGAAATAAAACGATTGTTTTGGTGATAAAAAAAAATTAAATACTTTAACGTTATGAAAGCTCCGCGAGCGTTTACTGAAGAGGACGCTTTCTCGTAAAGTGTACCGATATTTTCTTTTTAATTTTCTCTTTTGGTTTTGTTTTAACTGTAGTAATATTTTTGTCTCGGTATTCCAAGCTCTAAATAGGCCATATGGAGTTTTTTTTTAAATATATTTTCTTTTGTAATATGGGTACTAAAAGTGCTGTTTTTCTTTCAGTGGCTAAATATTTTTTGTAGTTTCTTTTCTTAAATAGCGCGCTGTCCGATACAGTTCTCCGATAACATGATCATGTACAGTGGTGCGCATAACAAGGGATTTTTCGGCGCTTTTTCGGGCTTACCTCCCACATGAAAGGCGAGAAATAGTAGCAGCTTTGTTGCTTCCATGGTGCCGTCTTCGTGCTGCGTAGAGCTCTGCTATCTTGTATTTGCTGTTCTTTTAACCGTTCCGTTCACTTGGGACGCGCTGTGTTCCCGTGTGTTGGTCGGTTATTGTTCATTGTGGCTGCACCCAGCACGGAAAATAGATGTAACATTTGTACAGTGTGTTTTTTATGGAAAATTATTTTCTAAAAGGGCACTTTGTTTGTGAAGTCAAATACCAAAGGTTGAAGCCGAACCGAACCTCTAAGCGCAACGATCATTTTATAAATCCATTTATCGTTAAAAGGGCGATGTAACGCTTTTTATACTTGCAGCTATCACCGCTTAGATTTATTCCTTGTCCTTCATAACATAACGTATGAAACACGTTGTTGTTTTTCTCCACGCAATGGGGCAAAAAAAAAAAAAAAAATCGAGGAAAGCGAGCGGGTTTTTCCGCTCCTCGCAGCTACAGCAAGCGGCCACGTGATCTAGAGCCGATGTTATACACCAACTCATGTTTACAAACAAACCGGAGCGCCCCTAGCGGGCGCCACCGGCGCCGCGCATGCGCGAGGGGGGTGTGGGCAAGAAGCTCGCCGTCGCCCATAAACAAACTATTGAAATGCGATGTTGTCGGCGTCGGTGTTCGGCCCCCTGCCCTTTTTCGCGTTCGAATTGTTGATTCTACGTCTTCCTGGCGATGTCTGACTGTCTTGAGCGGCGTCAGCGAAATTACCGAGGCTCGTTACACCGCAACAAAACTTCGCCTGAATAACGTTGCATGTGGCGATTCATTCCGCGTGGACGCCGCAGTACGTACGCTAAAGCCTGATTCGCATGATGAGATTTCGCTCGCAATTTTCAGTCGCGACGCCGCTCGGGCTGCAAAAGCGTGAATCGCAGCTGAGATGGTCGACGTCGATACTGAAAATCGCAAGCAGAATCGGACCAAGTCAATTAGGCATAACAATTCGGTGATGGTCACTGGTAACAATGATCAAAATCTCTTCGTATCTACTGTTTACATCGAGCCTGCTTACCAACCCTCAAATTTAAGTCTTTCGAGGCCTGCACTTACTTCTTATCGTTAGTACCGGGCCAACATTTGGTCTACGGGCCGGCGTCGTCTAAGAAAGCAGACGACAAGCAGAAACGTTTGAAAGAGCAGAGGACAGTTCGAACTATCAGGCGGCTGTTTGAACTTGAAGACGCACTGAACGTAGTCCGCAGGTGGTCCGCACAACTTGACGGTTTTCTGGCGTTCATGTTCGAACAAAACAAATAAATCTGATGACCGCAAGTATCCGTGAATTCAACCCAAAGTGCTCCCCGCCCAAGCAATCGTTGTCCGACGGTGTCTGCTTTTCCCTTTTCGCGGCACATATCCAGATTCTCGGACGAACCGAGCACGTGAAAAGTGACCTTCAAACCTTTCTCGACACTTTTGGTACGGCCCCAGTCGCGGCGTTTTGACGTGAAGGCAGGTTTTTGTCTGGTTCCTTACAAAACAACGCAGGAATACACGTCTGGCATGGGGAGTTCTGCCCACAGCCCCAGACCGGAAGTGCGACCGACGCGCCACCACCGCGCCGTGACGTCACAGAGTTGAGTTCGTGTATACCGCCAATGTTTGTCCATCCACGCGCTGTGGTTGGCAATGCTCAGGACACGCGCTGAGTTCCACACATCAAATTGTTAAGGTTCGGTCATTCCCGTCATCGCAGCCACTGGGCACGAGTTACTTACTATACGTGATTCTAACCGAAGTCGACGGACGACAGAGTGGATAAGCGACAAACACACGCCTCTCAAATGTTAAGACGTGCGTGTTACTCCCTTGTTCTCTTTGTTGTCCGTCGTCTTCGACGAGAATCATGTGTAACGTTAGCCAGCTCGCCTGTTTATTAACCTTGTCTTCTACGAGTCACCACCCAAAACGCATGTCGAACCGTTAATAGTACGAGGGGAAATCGAACGCTCCCGCAACGCTCGTTTGTACTTGTATATATATGAGCCGCTTTTATAGATGCTCGCCGCTGGGATCGCACAGCTTGATGACGAAATCTTGGGGATTGCATATTGTCGACAACGCCCAGCAAATAGATCCCCACAACTTCGTCATCAAGTTTTGCGAATGAGAGATCGAAAGAAGACGTCCGCTTTTATCCTTGGCATTACGCGGCGACGAAGACGTTTCTTGGTCAGCGGCAGTGCGTGCGAGTATACTTAGGTTCAACTATAGAGCTAGTAACCTTGTGTAAGGTGTTAAACATTCCTAACCAATATCTTTGCACGGCCCCTTCAAGCTTACAGGGCAGCGATTGCTATAAGCAAGCTTCTCTGGGCTCCTCGCTATGAAAAGTCACTTTCTAGCGCGAGCACTCGTTCCGTGAAAACGTTTCGAAGCCGCAACATCGTGCCTGGTAAAGTTTCTCCATCCTGAAAAAGTAGCGCCGAACTCCTCTTTTGGTCGCCATTTCGGTCCATGTAATGAAGTTGTTCCTTGACATTTCCGTGCTTTGTGAGCCATTGAAATTCCCGGTGAAAGGTCGCTTTATGTAGACATTTCTTGCATACCGAGATTTTATTATCCACGCAAAGGCGAATCAAGCGCAAATCCTCGAACCGCCACCATCATGCAGCGTCAGCGCTTGGTGGCATTTGAAGAAAAAAAAAATTGTCTTGAAATATACAAGAACAATTATATTGTAAGAGATATGTGGATAAAACCACTGTTAATAAGTTGATTGCATACGCAGTGCCGAAGATGATTATATTTCCAAAGAACGCTTTCACTTCGATGACGCTCCATAGCGATCTTGGCGCGGCTATTTCAGGACGACACTGTCGAAGCTTCGAAAGTACCGTAATGGCGATTGCCATGGCAACAAAGACCGATAAGCCAATCGCCTTGCGAGGTTTTGTTCGGTCGTATATCAATTCCCATGTGTCTAGTTAGCAGGCAGGGAAGACAATGACACGGATCCAGGGACTTTAGTGCCTACAGATCTTTTCGTCTTGATGGTTACCTGACCGACAGGTAGAGGGCGCTGACGCACTCGCCGCCATTAGGTGGCTTCAATTTTGTTGGTTTCGGTTTCAGCATGCACGCGGCTTTGTTGGTGTTTGGTGTTTTTTTCGCGTAATTTTGGTATGCAAATCTATCTCCTGTCGGTCACAGCCTAAGAAACAGCTGTTTCGTGTTGCTTTGAGAACCACGAAGACATTGTAAACTTAAATTACAAACTTGTTTTTCTTTTTTTTTTTACGAACACTTTATGGGACACTTAATTGTGTTCGTCGTTAATTTCAGCCAGGTTCTGCGGCAAAACAACTGTACTGGTGCACAGGGAGGGTGGCCATCGTCTGTGGTCGTACCCGCTGATACTGGTTTTTGTAAAAGTAAACTAATAAAGAAATTAATACGTGGATGTGTAGTTAAAAAGCAGGTCGAAACTTGATTGACAGTGTGCTGAATTGCGAAGAACAGATGAGCTCACAAGCTCACTGTTTGATTTTCGCGCGGACACCAGATTTTTGCGAAGTTCGCAAACTGGAAAAGTTTAAGACACAGATAATCCAAAAAGTAAGTCACATTAATTGTCGCGTCCTGATTTCTTTAAATAAATTTGAACACACTGAGTACTTGAGAAATATTTCGATAAATCATCTTAGGCCGAGTAGAAAATTTATTTAATTTTCGTTCCTACTAAAGTACTCATTAACAGCAGTTCAGAATGTTGGCATTAGCAAATAAGCTATTTGTTATAGGGACTTTCGCTACGGCAGGATCAGGATATCAGATAAGTGACAAGCCCGTCTAGTGAAGTCTAACATTTGTCTCCCCCCCCCCTAAAATCGGCCAAATGAAATTAAACTCGCCAGAGAAGTGACTCCCAGCAAGTTTGGCTGAAGTAGAATGCCAGGCACCACTTCTGGAAACCGCGTAGTCAGATATTTATCCGTTTGTGCTGATGCACCTTGTACATTTCGCAGTGGCCAGCCACTGAAAGCAAGTTTATTTCAGGCATGGACAACTCTGCGTTCGGGTGATTTCCATGCCAACTGCTTCCTTTCGTAGTCATACATTGCAGGCCCGGGCCACCCTCCTCAAGCTGCCTGTGACAGTGCTTTTTTTTTTTTTTTTCGCTCTCACCCAAAGTGTTTAATTATTTGTGTTGAAATACATCAACTGAATATTATACTGAATGTCATAGGAAAATGACTAAAGCACGTGAATGAGTGCGGACATGGGACCGAGCACGGCATCCGCTTTCTTTAGTCTTAAATATAAAACAATCAAGCAAATGTTAATACCTAAAAAAAAAAAAAAAAACTATTAAGAACGTCCAACGTATTTAGATGTGTTATTATGAACAAACAATTCGACTTATGTTAACACTACCGTTATTCCGAGAATCAGACAGAATAGAAGTAAAACGTTCGTTACCTATATTATGTATCGGATATAGTCAAAAGGGACCGTTTTCCATTTGTTATGAAGGAAAAGCATGATGCTTTCGAGAAACTACCACAACCGACAGCGTTCTGTCTATGTGCATCTATTCGTGCATCTTCGCGTTGTCTTTAATTTTCATAAGTACAGAACCAACTCGCCCAAGTTTCAAGGATACTGCGATTTGATTATTTTTGTCGCTTAGCTTAAGATCCTTAAATGTGGTATCATAAATATAACCTGCGCTTCTTATTTCGAATGTTTAGCCGCTATCGAGTTCTAAAAGAAAGCCGGCACCGCCGCTTGTGTCTATAGTTGCCGGTGGGCAATCATTTGGCGCTTCAAGCACTGCGATGCACCGTCTTTCCCCTTAGTAATCTTTTTTTAACTTTGTCATTATTGATAATTGTTGGGCTCGTTCTGATCGCCAAGGCTGGCTCTTTGTGTGTTTCTATAGTCGCCACTTTCATTGGTTCAACATGAGACATGGACGCCATCAGCATATCAATCCAACTTTATGAGAGCAGCACGGGGTATTGCGCACCACGTGTCTCTGAGTCCAATGGCGAGGTCACGTGATGAGTTCCTGAG